GCGGCATTGTGGGAAGGAAGGTGTCGGGGCGGCAGAGGAAGCGGCGGGCGGGGGTGGGGGGGTGAAAGGTCAGCGGCCGAGAGCCCCCGCGCCAATGGCGGGCGGGCTGAGCTGGTGCCTCGCGGCGGGCCGGGGCCGGGCCGCCCTCCGCGGCCGCGAACACCGGCCGCGTGTGTGTGTGCGTGCCCGTGTCTGTCTGTCCGTGTGTCCTGGGCCGCCGCCGCCCTTTGTAACGGTCCGCGCGAGGTTTGCTGGCCCCCAGCCCCTCCCCCATCGCGCTTCCACGCGATTTATGGGATTTGCGAATAATTCGAGGAGCTTTTTCTTCCCCCCCCCCGCTCCCACCCCCTCCCCCCACCCCCAGCTCCTAACCTCTGCTTCCTCTCCCGCTGCCCCGGCAGTCACCGGGGAGCTCCGTCCTCGCCGGCAGCGCGGGGCCGGGCAGACCCCGCACACAAAGGTCCCGGCCCCGATCCCGCTCCCGCCGGCCGCGGTTCGCGGGGGATCTCCGGCAAGTCCACAGCCATGAAATCTGCAGCTCCTGCCCGCGGCAGGCTCCAGCGGCGAACGGGGGGTGACTCGAACCGCCCCGCAACTTTCTCTCCGTCCCCCGCACCCCCGTCCCGCCGCCGAAGGTAAAGTTGGAGCCGGTCCCCCCCCCCGCCAGCCCCTCGCAGCGAGGCTCAAACGGAGGAGGAAAATGTGAAATGTTAACACGGAGAAGTGGTTCCCTTTGTTCTTTCATTGTTTCTACCCGAACTGGCGGATACGAGGATAAACACTTACCTTCTCTCCTTTTTGCTCCAAAATACACACGTTCCCATCAGCCTTAAAATGCACGGTCCACTTTGGAAGCGACTACAAATGTCGGGAGAGTTTGTACTCCATTCTTTTACGCTCTCTACTCTTTTTAGCGTAAGATTAAGTTGCCGAGCACGTTGTTGCAAGCCCCCCGCCTTAGTGAATGGTCACGTTTAGGACCCTCCAAGTACATCCTAATTCTGCCAGTAGAATTGAGGGTATTGGAGGTCTAAACTTTCAAAAGGAAAAGGGCCTGCATCTATGGAGCAGACCTGAAAATGCACTCAGTTCCTCACTCGCTTCCACAAAATGGATATAAACATCTCACCCCAAACAACTCAACGAAATATACATTTTAGAGCTTGAATGTAGAAAAACTGTTCCCTCGGCTGAGATAAGCTAAAAGCAAATTGTCATGAAGAAAATCTACCTCAGTATATTCCGCAGCAGAAATAGTCTCTGTCTGGAGTTTAAAACAAACAAATAAATAAGAGCATCGTATAGAAATATTAAGCGTAAAGTTTGAAGGGAAAAAAACTCTGAGAGGAACATGCTACCTAGAGTGGAATGGGGAGAATTACAGCTTTTTAAAGTGTCCTTTTCTTGCAAAAATTACTGTTTTTCATTTTTCTCCTGTGCAACCAAGCCAGGAGGAGATAAACCAGTTTTCTGCTTTCTTTGTAGTCCAGTCGATGTTTCGCACCCAGAAACACAGGCAGTCCCCCCCTAAACCTTGCTTTAATCTGATTATGATGAGATTTGCTGATACAATGAATATTTGAAATGATCCTTGTGTCTTAGTGAGCGGGAAGCATTTCCAGGCTCCCGTTTCCAAGGCTCCCCACCAGAGAGGGAAGAGGAGCGGTGGGGAGACCCCACTCCCCGAGGCCCCAGCGGGGTGGCAGCCGTGGGGGGGTGGACACAGCCCCTTCCTCCAGTGCCCAGGGGCGCCAGATTAATTCAGCCCAACTCCCTCAGTCAGTGGTTGGAGCGGGATCCTTAAGTGCCTTTTCCCCCTGCATCATCACGCCTTTTCCAATTGAAAAATAAACAAATAATAGTAAAATAAATTAAAAAAAAAAAAGAAAGAAAGAGGATGCAGGCGACCCAAGTAATTGTGGGACCGGGAGTGCATGTTGTCTCACACCCCCTCTCCTCCTCCTCCTCCTCCTCCTCCTCCTCCTCCCCCTCCTCCCGATGTGGCCTTAATGGCAAACTGGAAGGCCGGTTTATTTCATAGGGCCATATTACAACCAACAAGGTAAATAGGGAGTCGTGGGGAAGAAGGAGGGAGGGGAGAGGGAGGGAGAGGGGCTTTTCTTTGATAGCATTTAATTGGAATTGAAACATTCTGGGGCTGTAAACATTCTTTATTTATTCAGCACACATAAGCGGGCATTGTTTTATCACCATCATAATTATGGTGTCCTTTAAACTGACTGATAGCAAAGGAGATAAGGGAATGCGCCTGTAGCTCCAGATCAAATCTCTGGCTGTCCCCTCTCCCCATGTCTCCAGGATCCACACAGTCCTTGGAGATGAGGAGAGCCGGAAGATTGTGGCCTGGCCATCCCTTACGTCATGAAAGTGATTTGTACCACATTGCTAATTTGGTGCAATTCATAACCTCCTGATAGTCTTCATTTTCAACTGCTTTTCAGTTTGCAGGGTACGTTTTTTAAGATGTAGTTTCCCAGAGTAGAAATTAAGAGCGATAACCTATGTGCAGGAGAGGATCTTATTTCCCAATGTTTGTTGCTTTACCTTTGTCTAATTAAAAATGCAAACTTTTAGGATCCTTTCAGAACAAAGCCTCACCAAATCCCCTTTACGTCCAAGGATTTGCAAATTTATAAAGGCTGCATTGAATTCAGCATGGGTCAAGGGGCAAAAAAAGGGTAGAAGGTCACTGCATTTTGATTATGGGTCAGTAAACAACATGGCATGTAGTATGTGTCCAGAAACTCCTGCTAAAAAGTATTTTTAAACTACCATGAGTATTAAACTCGAGAAATAGTCTTAGCTCATGGTGATTATAAATTGCACAAAATTCTAGTGTGCAAGAAACATTCCAGCCCCCACAAAAAAAAACAAAAACAAAAACAAAAAAAAACAAAACAAAACAAAAACTTAAAAAGCACTTAGTAGAACCCTGCATTGCGTCTTTGTTTACCAAAAAGAAAAAAAAAAAAGGGGGGAGAGAGAAAAAGAAAAGAAAGGAAAAAAACAACCCTGAAACTCCTAGGCATAAGAGTGTTAGCCAGATTATGATTTTTTTTTTCCTGGACTGGTGGCTGGTATTTCTTTGTGCCACACATTTAGGAGGTTTAGTTATACATTCTGATACACTGTCAGAGTAGAATTTACAGCAAATTTTAGGTACTACAGTCACATTTGGCTGACTTTAAAATAGCAGAAGGATCCTATTATATTGTTCTTTGACCCTATTATATTTACGTTACTGGACTCTTTGTGATAGCCTCTAGCTGCTCTCTATCTGTGTCCTCCTTGAGCAAAATATGCCCAGCAGTACCTAGAAGCAGAGTGTAGTGTTAAAAAATCAAGTTCTCATGTGAAATATGTATTTCTGCCCAGCATCATGAAAGCAAAAGGTTTATTTAATGCTTGTCAGTACCTGAAGATGTTGTCCAGCATTAACAAATAATAATAAATAATAATAATACTCTAATAATGTGGCAGTTGTAATGTTAAAATGCATATGACCTCTTAGGTTTTCCTGAAGATTTTCAAAAGAATTCTCCCCATTAGTACAACTGGTGGTGGACGTCGCTGTTGCATTTCCCAACAAAATGTTTAAAAGACTGTAAATGCTATGTGCATTACTACATTGCAGAAGGAAGAGTTCAGATGGAATTGCACTGGTATTTAAACATAATCATACTATGAAAATAAATCATCACGTAAAAGGAGTATTTTAAATGTTACACACGTTTTCTTTCTGGAATGACATGGCCAAGCACTTCCCTGTGAGCATATAGATTTTAACACAAGTTTACAAAAATCCAAGTATATGATTTCCAATAAATGGGAATAGGTCTGCAGCAAAGTAATATGAATATTATTTTGCTCTTTCTTTTCTAATGAGGTTTATCCTTAGGCCAGACAGTTTCAAGACTGAAATACTACTGGCTATAGAGTGTAGATTGCAGATTGCACGCTACTCAATGTGAAAAGGAGCACGTTTGATTGATCGCCTCTGTGTGTGTGTGCGCCCATACACACAACTCTCTGTAGTTGCATGTGTATGTATTTGGCAAAACCGGGCATCTCTGGGCGTCCTTATCTTATGAAATGTGAGACAAACATCCATCCCTTTAATCATGTTCATCTTTGATCACCAGCGAGAGTGACACAGTCCACAAAATTAACAAAGAAACTCCCTTGCTTTTGAGAAATAGCTACATGTACATCTGGGTCTGCACACACGTGCACATGGACACACGAACACGCAGGCATACATCCCAGCAAGTAAATTATGGCATAACTTTTCATGTAATTGACACCAGACACCTTTAATTTTTCATATTCATTCTTTTGACCAGCTTTCACATTAACCATCTAAACCATAAATGTTGGTGGCTATTGATTGCAATCCCCTGTGTGCGTGCAAATCCATTTTCAAGTCCCCTGCCTTTAATGTGCGTGTGCGTGTGCAAGAGGCCTCTGACGGCTCTTTATCAGGATCTCCCCCAGCCCGCTTGAAGACGACCCCGGATACACAATGTGTGCTAATGGCCAAGGGAAAGCACACACACACACGCACACGCACACGAAAAGAACCAAAACAAAACAAAAGATGGAGAAGTAAAGAAACAAAGCTCTCCGCGTGAGATGCGGAGAAAGATATGCAACCGAAAGTGTGTGTAAGTATACGGTGGGGATGTGTAGGTTGGGCGCCTGACATTTCCCAAGACTTCTGGTGTGTTTCTCCCTGCCGACATCTGGCGCTGCTTCGGCCCCGGTGCTCATGGCCGCACCTTTCGGGAGCCCGAGGTTTGCCGAAGAGCCGTCACTAGTTTTAAACGTTTGGTAGGGCCGGAATTAAAGAAAGAAAAAAAGGCATTTTTAAAATAGTTACCGAATCCCACTGCCTGGCTGTCACCGTCAGCGCGTGGGTGCAGGTCTGGGTGCCCGTGGCTTCCTGCGTGCGAACGCACGCGTGGATTTACACGGGAATCTGACCCAGCTGAACTACCTGACAAATAAAGGAGTTTTCATCCCATCGGGGTTTTTGGTAACGTCTTCTGAACAGCTTTATCGGAGTTTACAGTTCCTTTACTGTTGACTCCATAGCCTTAACCTTAAAGCAGGGGGAGGAGAGCAGTGGAGAGGGGGTGGGGGTGTTGGCAGCATATAAGTACATCAGGAGGAATTTTTAAACGACCTTATTGTCTCTAGCTCTAGAAAGACCACGATGATTTCTTTTTAGCGCCAGCAGCTGTTTTCTCTCGAAACTTTGCTTTCAGCCTCAGCATATACGAGGGTGCCTCTCACACGAGCGAGCAAGAGAAAGGCAAGGCTGGGGGATCCAGATGCGAGGAGAGGGAAGGCGAACTCCGCGGATGGTCTGAGCTGTGCCGAGGCATTGTTCACTGCTGCCTCTCGGTTACGTTTAAAGGCTGAAATATCACGAGAACCACTCAATGATCCTTTTCTAATTCGAGGGACAAAATGTAATTTGCTGTAGCTCTGCTTTCTCGGATGGGAATACTATCCCTAGGTTTCAAAGGGAAGAACTAGGCATCGCGGTTCGCGCACACATGGATTAAGTTGAACAGCGGCGATTACATCTGCGCTGAGAGCAACAGTAGTCCAGGGCTGACTTTTCAAATCTCAGCCCTCCGAGTTAGAGGCTCTCTTGAATAGACTTCCTCCATTCCCGGATGCACTTCTCCAAATTCCCACTTCTCTCTCGAATTCCTGTGAAATTGGTGGCTCGCCTGCATTTTGCCTTGCCATGCAAAACTGCTTTTTCACAGAGTGATTATGCGCTTTCTTTTAGCTGTACCTGACGGGGTAACACGAACTCCACGCACCATATTGCCAACATGCGGAGTGGATATTGAGGTTTGGGATTGAAGATTTTTAATTTTTTTTCCTCCGTCGATTTTTTTGCCAAGTCACAGCAATATGAGATGTCTCATTAATCTCGCGGATGTGTCTAATTCTGGATGTGCAGTGATACATAAAAGTGCTGGTGTTTGTATCCAGCGGAACACTGGATGCACGGCAGAGATTGGTGATCTTTTTTTTCGCAGCGCCTAACGTGCAAACCGCAAGCATCACGTTAACGTGACAAGGGAGAGGCATGCAGCTATCGCAACATTTGCGAAATCCCCGTTCCTGACACTCGAATAATTTAACGTTCCTAAGAAGAGGTTAAACATTCATGCTGCTTCTTCCAATTGATTTTAAGGGGCTGCTATAAATGGAGCATCAAAAAGCTTCGGCAGGGCTACTCCGAGCGGAATATGCAAACTGCGAGCCAGAAGCATCCTAGCCCGATGCAATATCGTACATTGTGTGTGCCAGCACTTTTTTGTTATTACGTAAAGGCTCTTGGAAGCACCTTGGATATTTTACATTCTCCTTTCTCTGCTGGAAGCAATCAGCACGCAGGAATCCTGACGTGGGCTCTGGGACTATAGGACATTCCAGCTCGTGATCCAGTACGGTTAATCGTGAAAAGTGTATACATTTCTGGCTTATCTATGCTTTGTTATGGGTCTGACGTGAGCTCACGTCCTCCTCCCCCCTCCCGCAATATTACAGGCAGAATTTCAGTTAAAAGTGTTACAGTATCACGGTGCAGGAACCCGTGATACTCAGACAGCAAAAATAACCTTAGTCCCGGGCTGTAAAAAGCTAATTAAGCAGAAGAGGAAAATCAAGAGAAACTCGAAAATGTAAGTATTCCCTCTCGTTAGCAACCGAACATTTAACTTTGGAGCCTCAGAAGGGGAAATACCAGGCTGTTCTGCACGTTTTCTCTAAGCTTCATTTTCCACACAATGGAGAATAAAACACTAGTTTAAAGCGGCTACGTTACCGAAGGATTTTCCATCGTTACGATCAGACTTATGTCCTTTAAATTCACGGCATGCACAAAAGAGCAACGTTTGTCCAAAACAGGCTGAAAATATACGGAACGATAGGGGGGAAAAGCATACAAATCCTTCCTCGGAAGCTAGCGACGAGGAAGTCTGAGAGGGCTGAGTATGTTTGAGCTCGGATTGTTTAATAGAAAGATTTATATACTAACTGTATTATTTACTTTGGGAGGGGAGGTGGCAGTATAAGGGTATGCTAATTAGTGGGAGATTTTTTGGGGGAAGGGGTGGAATATCAATTTTTATTGCATCACCTGTCAGGAGTGTCCAATCAGCGTTGGCTTTAGGGGAATTAATTGATGAAGGTGTCTCCGGACGAGCTCACTTCACTCTGTCATTTTATTTGTAGCTAAAGCAGCGGCGGGAATAGCAGCTGCATTTCTTTTCTCTTCCTCCCTTCACATTCCATTATCATAGTTTCCAATGGAAAAGCAGGGAATGAAAGGGAACAGGTACTGATCTTCAGAAGCAACTTAGAGAAACACTTTGGCAAACCTGATTTTTAAGATTATATATTGATTGTAGCCTCACGGTATTTTTTAATTTATTTTTTTTTAATTTTGTCTAAAGTTTGGCACTTCATTCACCAGGAATAACAGCCTTTGTTATATTTTATTAGCAGGATGCCTTGAGACAAATACAGCATCTGGCTGAGGATTGTGTGTGTGTGGCTTTTTCTTTTTTTTTTCTTTTTTTTTTTCATCTCTCTCTCTCTCTGCAAATGCTGGGAATAATTTAATTCACGAAATGGGAGACCTGAAGTCGGGTTTTGAAGAGGTGGATGGCGTGAGGCTCGGCTACCTCATCATTAAAGGAAAGCAAATGTTTGCACTCTCCCAGGTTTTTACAGACCTGCTCAAAAACATCCCGCGAACTACCGTGCACAAGCGAATGGATCATTTAAAAGTAAAAAAGCATCACTGCGACCTGGAGGAGTTGAGGAAACTCAAAGCCATCAACTCCATCGCTTTCCACGCCGCCAAATGCACCCTGATCTCCAGAGAGGACGTGGAAGCCTTGTACACATCCTGCAAAACCGAACGGGTACTTAAGACGAAACGGAGGAAACTAAGCCGGGCGCTGTCTGCCGCCGACCTCCGGCCGGAGCTCGCTCCCGCCGACCCCTTCTCCGGCTTCTGGAAGGAGAACAAACTTTGGCTGGGTCTGAGCGACTCTCCCCGGCCGCTGCTGCCCGTCCGGAGGAAAGCTCTGCGCCCGGGGGACACAGCCTTGCTACCGGCCGCTCATCTACCTCACATTTTTAGTAAATACACTGGCCACAGCTACCCAGAAATCGCTCGGGCGCCTTGCAAACCCCCCGTAAACTATGAAACGGCGCCGGCAGCGGGCGGCTGCGCGCCCCTGCGGCCCCGCCGCCCGCCCGCCGCCGCGGCGCGGCCCCGGCTCCCGGCCGCCGGCCCCCCGCCCCTGCCCGGCCGCTGCCGCCGCCGCCGCCACGGGGCGGCCGCTGTCGCCGGCACGCTGGGCCCCCCCGGCGGCGCCCGCCGGCCCCTGGCCCTGCCCCGGCCCTGCCGGCTCCGCGGCGCCCCGCGGCTGCCGCTGTCGCTGCCCCGCGGCTTCGGGCCGCCCGCCTTCGCCGAGAGCGCCAGCAGCGACTCGGAGTCCAGCTGCTGCTCGGGCCGCGCCGCCCACGACTCGGACTGCGGCTCCAGCCTCTCCAGCTCCAGCGAGGGCAGCTCGGAGGAGGAGGACGAGGAGGAGGAGGACGAGGAGGGCAGCGGCGCCTCGGACTCCAGCGAGGGCAGCTCAGAGGAGGAGGAGGAGGAGGAGGAAGAGGAGGAGGAAGAGGAGGAGGAGGAGGACAGCACCTCGGACTCCGACTCCAGCTCGGTCTCCAGCCAGGTTTCGGTGCAAAGCATCCGCTTCAGGCGCACCAGCTTCTGCAGCCCGCCCGGCGTGGTCCACGCCAACTTCTTGTACCATCTGGCGGCCGCCACCGCCCCCCGGCCCCCGGCCCCGGCCCCGGCGGAGTCCGGCGGGCTGCCCGTCCTCCGCGGCGCTCCCGGCGGAGTCAAGCCGGAGCTGCCGGAGGAGTGGGGCCGCCCCGGCTGGGCTCCCGCCGCCCCGGCGCTGCGCTGCTCCGGCGGCCTAGGGAGCTGCTTCGCGGAGATAAGAGATGATAGGGTATCCGAGATCACATTCCCACACTCTGAATTTTCCAATAATACCAAGAGTACTGACCTAACAATTAACTGTGTTGCAAAGGGGGCCTCTTCACCTAGCCCAAAGACAAACAATGCATTTCCACAACAAAGAATACTCAGAGAGGCAAGGAAATGCCTTCAAGCAACTACTACACACCGTGTAGATAACAATACAATAGCTGCTAGGTTCTTAAATAATGATTCTTCATCAACGGCAGCAAATTCAGAGAAAGATTCCAAAATCCCTCATTGTATTGAATTTGCCACGGATTTGCCCTCTTTACAAACTGATCCTGCGGAGGATGCTGCTTCTCCAGGGGCAGCAGCAGCAGCTGAGCTCCAGTGCACTGATACAGGCAATAAGGCATTGCCATTCCTGCACAGCATTAAAATCAAAATAGAGGACAGCAGTGCGAACGACGAGTATGAGCCTGATCTTACAACACATAAGCTAAAGTGTGAGTGCAATGATACTAAGGATGAGTTTTACGGTGTGACTGAGAGTAATAACCAGGACGCTTTATTAACAGCCAAGGAAGATTCTGCATGCACTGAGAAAGAAACCACTTCCTTAAACCCGCTGACTCAGAGTCAGGTCCTCTCATGCACTTTAGGTACTCCAAAACCTGAGGATGGGGAGTATAAATTTGGAGCAAGGGTGAGAAAAAATTACAGGACACTGGTTTTGGGAAAGCGACCTGTACTGCAGACTCCTCCAGTCAAACCAAATTTGAAATCAGCTCGAAGCCCACGTCCTACAGGTAAAATCGAGACACATGAAGGAACACTGGATGATTTTACAGTTAACAATAGACGCAAAAGGGTAGCCAGCAATGTAGCATCAGCAGTGAAAAGGCCATTTAATTTCATGGCAAATTTTCCCTGTCCACCATCACTAATTATTGGCAATGATGGGGATTTGTTGCCAGCTTATTCCTTAAACACCACTAAGGATTCCCAACCACCTCACAAGGCCCATCCTGTATGGAAATGGCAGCTGGGCGGTTCTGCAATACCTCTTCCACCTAGCCACAAATTCAGGAAATTTAATTAATAAAATAGTTTGGAAAATATTTTCTTGAACCACCTTTAACTTTCTTACCTTTTTTTTTTTTTTTAAACTCTGCAGCATGGTTTGTACAAACCCATTAATGCTATACACACTTCTGGAATCCTGTTTTATCACAATGTGAAGACAGAAACCGGATTACTATTTTATTTACCATTACAACAGTGGTGGGATTTTTCTGTTATTTTGGGTTTTTGTTTTTGGTGGTCTATTTTTGTTTTGTTCTGTTGCATTGGGGTTTTTTATTTTATTTTATTTTGTTACATTCCACAGAGTACTTCAGGCTAAAGACTCAAGTTAAACTCAGTTATTACGGTAAAGCTGGAACACTTTACTGTTTAAATGCTAATAATGCACCAGTACCTCAATTCAACTGCTGCAAATAAATGTCAAAAGGTTGAATAATAAATATTAGAATGAGCCATTAAATTTATGCACTAGATTTCGAAAATGGAAGTCTAACTGTTAATTCAGTTAAAGTTTGTTAAGTTACATGGTTGCACAGTAAGGGTTCACTATAAATTCAATGTGGCAGCAATCTACTTTTCGGGAGCTTTGTTTTCGGGTGCAGGGGTGTCTCTTTCGAAGAGCAGTTGCACTTACTCCTTTTTCTCTGGTTTGGAAAGCCTGGTGTCTGTCTGCGACCCCAGCGCTGGGAAAAGCTGCCTCATTTGAAACCAGTAAATAAATGTGGAATTCTATTTTTGGTAAAAGGGTGTCTTTTTGCTTGTACAGCCACTCTTTGCAATTGGGAAGCCTTTTTGTTTCACCCAGAGGTCTTAAATAAGGTTACTGTTACCCACTAATGTCATACTTAAGTTGTGGTCTGAACATGCCCCTTACAAACTTGCAAAGCAACTAAAATATTTGCCTGGCCAGCAGTACAATTTATGGTCCAGCCCCTCACGCTGGCTGGAGGAAATAGCAAAGCAGTAAATACAACACAGAAAGTGAAATGAGAGGCCGTAAGTGGAAAGATTACACAAAATGAGAAGACCATGTTATTCATAGCTTTTTGGCACCAAAACTCAAGTGTTTCAACCGTGTTACACTTCCCGGTTCTATCCTCATCTCTTGAAATTTGCTGTCGTGGGTTTTATTTTGCCATGCCATCCTCTCTATGTAGCAGAAACATTTCTACTGCACGTGACAATCAGAGGCAATTATCTATATTTGCACTTAATATCGAAATAGTCGAACAGGCAGACTTCTAGAGTCTAGCCCTCGGTAAGTCATGCTGGTATAATATATTGTGATGATGGAAGCAGTAAATCAAAATTATGGAAATTTGCACTGTTGAAAAGCATGCTTTAGCTTTATTTTCAATTAAAAACACTGTTTTAAAAAATTCTGATTCCAAACACTTTGAATTATTGCAGAGTTATCCGTGGTTTCCTCTCCGTTTGTAAGTTCACTGTTTTTATTTGGAGGAAATACGCTTCAAGAGGTTAACTGTTTCCCTCCCTTCCCCCCCCAGCCTCTCGAAAAGAAAGGGAAGGAAAAAAAAAAAAAGAGAGAGAGAAAGGCTGGAGGCCGAGGTGGAGGCAGAGCCGAGAACGGGGGAAGGTCTCTCTTGCGGGGGGAGGACGGGTACAGCAACTCTGAAAACAGCCTGAAAAGTTTGCAGCTTGAGAAAGGCAGTAATAATTGAGTTGCTGAATCAGCAGAGTTTAGGATGAATAATTGCTGGTTTCTTTCTTTGGATTAGCATTTTATTTATACTAGATCATTCACAAATTAAATTTTAAGGATTCCACTCATCGATCAATCCCGGGAGAATAATTTATCATAAATCAAAAAAGGAAAACAAAGCAACAATGTAATGTTTACTGTGTGACTCAAAGTCAACATTTCTGCTGGCAATCCACTGCCTGGGATTCAATTTTTTAATTCTTGCCTTTTGTGATGCCCTCTCCCAACCTCTCGTGTCTCCAGATATTCCAAGTAGTCACTAACTGATTTCAGCTCTGTTTACTATATCCACACCGGAGTTTTCCTCTCATTGTAAAAGGCCTAGTCTAAGAATACCTGCAGCCAAATATATTTAGAAAGAGTAAACAATTGCCTTTCAGTGGAGTTACCCTTCCCCCCTGCATGCACACGTACATACACACACATCACTTTAAAGCTGCCAATTGCAAAAGGTGCATTGCATACTTAACTGCTCTGCTGAAATTACGATGGTCATGAAAAATCTGCTTACTGAAGTTGTTCTGAGATGAATGTTTACGTTCGTGTGTTTAGAGCTGCACAGAATACAGCCTTATTTCCAGAGAACTGTAAGTACGTACAAAATGTACTGCTCAGGAAAGACCCCTGCTCTGTTAGAAACCGTGTCTGCTTGACAAAGGTCTTCACTTGACCAAAAAAAAAAAAAAAAAAAGAAAGGAAAAAAAAAGAGCCAAAAGCTACAAAAGTGCAATATCCAAACCTGAAACCTAAAATTTTGCCTTGTCAATTAAACAACGTATCACTTTCAAAGTAACTCTGTCCCCTGACCCTGTTTACTTCCAATTAGAGATATGCTGATTTGGCCAGGAATTGTAAATTACAGAGGTGCCTTTTCAGGTTCCTGAAATAATCCGGAGGGGGGGGGGTGGTCGGGAGGGGGAGGAATAAGCATAAATTTATACCAAATAGGCTCTGCAGAGTTGAGGATGTGAAATATGGCGCCCAGCCCTGCCAGCGGCCCGGGAGCTCCAGGCACCCCCGGGCATCCCCGGCAGGCTGCTCCGCTTGGCTCTCCTCCGCCCAGGCAGCAGCAAACGGCAAGGAGTTAAACAGCCAAATAATTTTCACACGTGCACACCTCAGTTTAGTGCAAGCCACTAACAGGGACATTCGTGTTTTTACTGCCGCTGGAGAAATTAGCCAGGTACAATAACTCACTAGGGAAAAAATAAAGGGGAGGGGGATTGAAAAAAAGGTATTCTCTCCAATTCTGGTAGTTTGGTTACTGTTTCTGATGACATTGTAATTATTATTGCGATCAGAGTTCATTATCATTTCAGCCTTAATCATGTGAAGTCTTATCACTGAGTTACGTAAAAATAACCGATTTTCTCCCATAAAGGTAAGTTCTAATAATGAGGAAAACCCAAGGTTTTCCAAGGGAGCTAGGCTACCATTTTGTTGCAATGTTTACAGGAGATAAAACTTAAAATATATTAGTAATGAATTGCCACCATTTCCCAATTCCTGGTGTACACACAAATCAACAGAATTTTCTAGAGGAAAAAGCAATTGAGGGAAGTGCGTGTACTTTATGGACTATACTGCATAGGTATTTGCCATAAGTAGAGTTCACCGGTAAATTTATTGTGAAGATTTCTGCTGCCAGATGGACGACAAAGAAAGTTTTGGACTCTGTTTAATTCTCTAGAGCATTAAAAAGGGAACACGTGTAATGCCTTCAGCAACGAGGTATATTGCCTTAAAAGATGTAACTTGCCGTTTACAGCAATTTACTTTAGGAACCGATTGTTATATAAGCTACCCTTACTTGATACAGTGCGATAATCTCTTTACTGATTGTTTATTTAAAACACCACTACTAGCAATAATGCAAAATAGTGGTAGCTGTTTTATGAAGTTTGCTGTTTAATCAATTCACATGGTGATTTTTTACATGGTCTCTGATCTCTTTACCTCTAACAGATTTAGTTGCCAATAAATTAAAGTTTCTGCAGAAATGAGAGCAATGCTATCATGTTTATGTTTGTCACTGTTCACACATGTGAGTGGTTGAGACAGAAAAGGGTAAAAAAAGTGGCATTTTTGACACACGGTGGTAATCTGCAGGAAAATATTCTACATATGCAGTATGTTGGAGAACATGAAACACAGATAACCTTGTTAATTGTGGTTTTTATGGTTAAGAGGATTGCTGGGAAGAATATGTGATGGTTCATCCTGGAATCTATTTGGTCAGCTTGGAGGTACAAAAGGAGGGCGAGTGCCTGAAAATGAAAAGCCCTGGCTAGCAAAATCAGGAGGGAAGTATTGGGATCTGTGTTGCTGAAGTCATGCTTGCAGACATTACCCATTCCCCTGGTACTTGGCCCTGCAAGCCGTGGTCTAACATCTCCGGCTTGCCTGAAAACCTTCGGGGAAGGGACAGCGAGCCGGGTTTAGGCCTTACACGTTGCATTTTTTCACTGCGCTGATATAATTATTTCCCGTGCCCTAGGCCCCTCTCTCTCCCCCTCTCCCTTTCTCTCCGAGGCGGCCTCACAAGCCCCCGCTTTAAAAGCCCCGAGATGTTTTGCATGAAGCGCTCACAATAGGGGTTGAGGGAATTGACAGTTTCAAAAACAAGGCGCCCTGTCCTTTCCAGATGCCGAGGACCCCTCTCCCGCACCATCTCTCGTTTGCTCCTCGCTGCTGGTGGCTTTACCCTTAGCATTGCAAATACACGGCAACAGCTGTGTTTGTAAACAGGGGGGAGGACGGAGGGAGCGCCGCCGGCCTCGCTCCCGCTCCGCGCGGCGAGCTGCCGCTGCCTGGAAATTACAATTAAAAAAAAAAAAAAGAGAGAAAAAAAAAAAGAGGAGAGTGAAATCAAAAAAATGCGGGAGCGCAGCCGGGCCCCCGAGCGGCGGGGCGGCCCCTGCGCGTCGGGCCCGGGGCACACCGCGCCTCGGGCCGCCATCTTGCCCGGCACCGCGGAACCTCACCGGCTCCCCGGCCCGGCTCCCCCGCTCCCGGCCCGGCTCCCTGGCCCGGCTCCCGTGCTCTCGGCCAGGGTCCCGCGGGCGGCGGGGGCGGCGCGGCAATCTCCGGGGGTTCCCGCACTTCAAAGCGGGGCCGTGGCTTCCACCCTGCACCCCCCTCCGGCTCCTCCGCCGGGGCGTCCATCTTCCCGGGCTCTCCCGTGGCGCGGCCCTGCCGCCTCCCGCCCTGCCCGCTCCGAGCCGAGGACGAGCCAGGGGGGAAGCCCACGGAGGTTGCGCGGGCCCTCTGGGCAGATGCCGGGCTCGGGGCCAGGCAGCGGCCGGGGGAGGCCCGGGGCTCCAGGCTCGGCCCTGCGCCCTCCGCCCCCGCGGAGCCGGCCCGGGAGGGGACGGGGAGCGAGGTCAGCGCAGAAAGTCCAATGGGGCTGTTTGCTCTTGCGTCTAAAATGCAGCCGGGGCTGTAAAGCGTGTGAAATTACGCACCGGTCTCTTAAAGAGTGGCTAATTTATAGTAAATAGCGAGGGCTTTGTAAATGGATTTATTATGTTGTTTCTTGTTAATTGTTGAGAAAATCCCCATTGTTGAGTGTGAATGGCTTTATGGGCTAACCCGGGCCGCGCTGCAATCCCGGGGCAGTAAATGGCCGCTCCGCTAATGTGGCCTGTAGCGAGAAGCCGGACTAGCCGCGGTGACCTTTGGGCGGCGGGGCCGGACTCAGGCAGACAGGCCCTGATGAAGCCTCGTCCCTGGGCGGGGGAAGCGCCGGGACCTCGGTTCGGAGTGACCCCTCGGCCGGGCCCGGCAGCCCGAGGAGCAGCGGTGCGGGCGGACCCTCCGGGCGCACGGCCGGGCCCGCCGGCCCAGCCGCGGCAGCGCCCACGTGCAGGAGCCGCTCCGCGCCTTTGTTCGCGGCCGCGCTGACCCGGGTGCCCCTGCCCGCCTGCCCCGCACCGCCCCGGCCGCAGCGCCGCTGCCACTGCCCGCCGAACGGCACGTCCGCATGGCGAGAGGGGCTCCAGCGCGGCCCTGGGCCCCCCACGCCGACGTTTTCCCCTTAGACAAATAAACAGGAGCCAGCACCTCCAGCCCCTTCTCCCCTGTCCCGGAGGTGTGGGGGAGGTCATGGGAATAGGGGTACCGCAATGAGCTTCTCCAAACTCCACACCGTGCCCCCTCTTTCGTGGCCGCGGGGAGAGCCCCGCCGCTGCTCCCGGGTCAGAGGGATCGGGACACGGGGACTCCCCCGCCGCTGGCACCCAAACCTCTCCCGCGTGCATGCGCCTGCATATTGTAAAATACAAATCACGATGAAATGTAAATTCTACTCTAGAAAGTTATATTGGGCTATTCTCTTTCCTGAAATCTCTCCCCCTCTGATTTCGCTATTAGGAGAAATCCCCCTGGGTTTAGAGCACTTGTTCCACGGATTTCTGTACAGCCCACATCTGTTGCCTTCCCCTCTCCGGCTCGGGGCTCTGTCCTCGCTGCAGGCAGACCAGGGCGCGGGTAAACCGGCGGGACGAGCCACGGAGGGGTCGCCGCAGCCCGGCCCTGCCCCTCGGAACCCAGCGATTTTCCAAACTGCCTTTCAGGATCGGGATCGAATTGCAATTATATCAGATGCACGGCTCCCTCTTCCCCGGGACTTGTGCTTGCAGCCCTCTTCC